TCTCTCTCTCTCTCTCTCTCTCTCTCTCTCTCTCTCTCTCTCTCTCTCTCTCTCTCTCTCTCTCTCTCTCTCTCTCTCTCTCTCTCTCTCTCTCTCTCTCTCGATTTGGTTTAACATGGGTTGGTTTTTTATGTTTTCTTTTATTTGGTAATTTTTGCTATATGCAGTTTTGATCATTTTCTCCCCCTCTGTGATTTTTTATTTGTGATTTTTTGTTTTATTTTTCCGATCTTATGAAGTTTTCAACAGCCGCCTTGTTATTGAATTGTGCACTTTGTACGTTGTACATTCTGACTTGCAAATGGGTGGACTCCCATGGCCAAGATATTTTAGTTCTTAATCTACCAAGTTAAGGGAACCAGTGTGGATAAAAAAAAAAACACAAATCATGATCAGGGTTGAGTTTCTAGAAATACCATTAAATTAAAACTTATGTTCACTCATCTTTGATTGGAACCAAACTTCACCTTTGATAGAAATTGTATCAATTTATGTTATTCATAGTTGGCCCTAAATGATCTCTGGCATTTTCTTAATGCGAGACTGCTGGATGCTGGTTAAACTTTATACTTATTAAGTTTGCTTGTCATGATGCTTTTCAGTTTATCCATTCTCTGTGATATAGCAAGATCGCACATGTCAATACCACAATACTTCTTAGGCATCTAGTAAAATTGCCTAGGAGTTGTGACATCTGACTCAGGTTGCAATATTATCTAAGTTAGACACTTCAAAAAGAGAATGTATCGTCTTCTGAAACAATGTGACATAATTCTCTCACTTTTCTCTTACATCCATTGAAATTGAATTTTTTTAGCCCTTTTGAAATTTCTTTTATTGTGCTCATGAACTTGGTCTGCCTCATGGGACCTTTGTTCGTGCACAACTTCCATGAGAAAGTAGATACAACAAGATTGTTATCAAGTGCGTATATGAACTGCTTGAGGCTTAGGCTCTACATTACGAATGTCATGAATCTCTAGCCATTTATGCCAACGAGTTTTTAGTCTATATATAGAATGGACGGCTTGACCCATAGGATGATAGTAGTGGATAGCTTCATGAATCTCTAGCCTTTGAAGACTTTGATGAAGGCTATTTGCACTAGGCTAGTGAGGGTGTTCTTAAACTTGTCTATGTGAAACCTCACTGGGAAAACATAGGTTTTCAAGTGTGAGAACCTTTTTAGAATTTACCCTAGTATGCAGTCGCTTTTTTTTAGGTTTTCAAGTGTGAGAGGCTTTCTAGAATTTGCCTTGGTATGCAGTGGCATTTTTTTAGTTGGTTTTTGTGATTCTAGTGACTCAGGGATGAGAGCCTTTCGCTTTGGCTTAATGTTTGTAAGAGCTTCTTTTGTGTCCCTTTATTATAGAGGAATACTCTAAGAGACTTTTGTGGAGAATTGTGTGATATGGGATAATTCATACTAATTTATTATAGCTTTCATATTTATTATTTATTATATTTATTGATGTAATGCTTAATATCAATATCATTATTAGAGAGATATGTTGATTGTAGTATGAAAGGTGGTGAAATCAATTTGGTGAACTCATAATTGATGCTAATTGTTGACCTCGAGCCTCCCCTGGCCTCTTCGCCTCCCTCCCGGGTTGCCACGTGTCCTTATGACGGCATGCAGCCTTCGTCTTTCCTGTCGGGTCCTCTTTCTTTTGCCTCTTCAGTTCTTCCTCCCCCTCCCTCAACTTCTTCTTCACTCGCTTCCTCTCTTTCTCTACCTCAGCTCTGCAACCCTTCTCCCTCTTCTAAGGAACCCTCCGTGACTGATTCCCACTCTCCTTCCGCTCCTGGCCTATTGTCTTTCCCTTCTCCCCTCATGGATTCTTCCTCCCCTCCCCCTTTGGGAACCAGAGTATCCCCCCTTTGCTTACCCTTCTGTGGACTACCCCCTGGTTAGTGTCCCCACATTGTTAGGTGCACAGGGTGCATTCCCCCCATCACTGTTATGGGGCTTTTTTTGTCTGTCCCACCAATCTGTTGAGGTCTCCCACTACCTTACCTACCTCCCCCCGACCGCCTTCCGTGCTACTTCTCCATCTCACGTTACCCACACTTCTCCTTCCGTCTTCCCGGGTTTTTTCCCTCGTACCCCTCTTTCCTCCTCTGCCTCCCAACTCTGTGTTTCTCCTGCCGTTCCTTCTGATCTCTACCCGTCTTTCTCCCCTTCCCCTTCACCCCATTAGCAGGAGATGGACATGTTCGAGGCTTCTGTCCCAGCTCATCTCTCCCCTCTCGTCCGTGGCTTTAGACGGGGAGTTCGATGGGGATGACTTTAACCCACCACTAGAGGATTCTTCTACTCCCTTCTCTCCCCCCTCAGAAAACCCAGGAGTTGAGGGGGTCGATGGGGAAGGGTCTGACCGTGACTTAGAAAGGATGAAAGACATGTACAGCGTGATGGGGTTCCAGCATGATGGCCCAGAAGGTCCAGCTCATCGCTTCATACTCGTCGACCGCCAAAGCCGCATGAAGGTGGGTTTCAAAGGAAAGAGGGACCTTCTCAACCCCTTTTCCTCTTTTACGGTTCATGCCACCTCAACTTTTGAAGGGCTATCCCCCCCCCCTTCAAGCGGTCGTATGAGGCGTTCACCCAGAATTGCCTCCCTCCCCTCCCCTGCTTATTCTTCATGAAGTTAGTCTGTTGGAACATCAAAGGTCTAGGTCAACCTTTGAAAAGAAAGGCCATTAAGGACCTCACTTCCAAACACTATCCCACTATTCTAGCTTGAACCAAAACTAAGTGCCCTGAGCCCTCCCTTCCCCAAGTTCGTCAGGTTTGGGATAGAAGACCATGCCAGTGGGTAGCCCTACCTGCGGTAGGAGCGTCGGGGGATATTTGGGTTATTTGGGACCCAACTGATCATCTTTTGAAATCATCACATCTAGGGGACTTCTTAGTCACCATTATGCTGTCCAGACTATCGGATGGCCTTGCTTGGAAATTCTCGACCATCTATGGCCCCTGTAACTCGACATGTAGGCTGCGTTTCTGGTCTGAATTGGATTATATCGTGGCCTTACCTCATCCTACCTGATGCCTGGGTGGGGACTTTAACATTACCAGGTGGTCCCATGAACGGAACACCAGCAGTTGGGTTTCTTAGGGCATGTTGGACTTCTCTGATTTTATTTGTGGGACTGATCTCCTTGATATGCCTCTTCAAGTAAACAGATTCACCTAGTCCAATCACTCTTCCCAACCCTCTCTATCCAAGTTGGATAGATTTCCATTTAATCCAGAATGAGAGGAAGAGTTCTCGGGCTCTTATGCGATGGCCTTGCCTAAGCGTGTCTCTGACCGGTGCCCTATTTTCTTGTCAACCTTACCTCTTAGTAGGGGACCTAAACCCTTCAGATTTGAACTGGCTTGGCTAGAGGAAAGGTCTCTCTCAACTCTGATCCCTACCTAATGGAATTCTTTGTCTGTGCAAGTTAAAGGTAGAGTTGGGTTTAGACTGCAATCGAAAATTCAACTTCTTAAAGCCTCACTCAAGCCCTGGAGGTCATTAGTTTCGGGAAACTATTCCCAGATAAAGTCTGACCTTCTTAAGACCCTGCAAGACCTAAACAGCGTTGAAGAATCACGCCTTCTATCTTCTTCTGAAGCTGAGCTCTGAACCCAAACCAAACTTAATTACTTGTCCACCTTGAAAAAAGAAGAGATCTACAAGTACCAAAGGTCAAGAGTTAACTGGCTCAAAACTGGGGATTACAATACCCGCGTTTTCCATAGGATTGCCAACTGTCATCGGAGGGACAATACAATCTGTGCCATCAAAGTAAACAACCTTGTCTTAGACCAACCGGAGGAGATTGAATCAACAATCTTAAATTTTTTCAAGAACCTATACTCAAGTCCCTCTGGTTCTCGACTAGCTATGACTGACTAAGATTTTCTGACCCTCTCAGAAGAACAAGCAACTTGGCTAGAACGTCCATTCCTTGAAGACGAAATTTTTAAGGCTTTGGATGACCTAGCCAAAGACAAAGCTCCTGGGCCTGATGGATTTCCTATTGCACCGTTTAAGTTTTTTTGGGATACTTCTCACGTGGATTTCTTAAATTTCTTTGTAGAGTATTTCCAGCTGGGTATCCTCAACAAATCTATCAATGCCACCTTCGTTACTCTGATTCCTAAGGTCCAAGGAGTTGAGAAAATTAAGGATTATAAAATTCTATCTAAAGTGTTGGCCTTTAGACTTCAGGAGGTCCTCCCGTCGATCATCTCGCCCTCACAGTCGGCGTTTATCAAAAATAGGCAAATCCTTGATGGAGCCATGATCGCAAATGAATGCATCCATTCTAGGCATCGAACCAAAAAACCTAGTCTCATTTTTAAAATTGATTGGGAAAAAGTATACGACCATGTGAATTGGTCGATACTAGATGAGACATGGCTCAAATGGGGTTCTGAGATAGATGGCGTACTTGGATGAGAGGGTGTTATTCCCACCCTAATTTTTCAATCCTCATAAATAGGACTCCCAAAGTCTATTTTCCCTCATCGAGAGGCCTACGCCAAGGGGACCCTCTGCCCCCTTTTCTCTTCGCTATCTCGACTGAGGTTTTCAGCCGCTCACTAGATTGTCTTCACCAAGCTGGCCTTCTTTCAGGCTTCAAGTCTTCTCGTCGAGGGTCTATGGTGTCACATCTGCAATACGCAGATGACACCCTGGTCTTTTTAAATGCCTCCTCTTTCGAAGTCGAAAACCTCATAATCTACCTCAAATGCTTCCAATTTGCCACTGGGTTCAAGGTTAATATGGAGAAATCCATTTGCCACTGGAGGTTAATATGGAGAAATCGAAAATGATGAGTATAGCTATCACCATCACCCAAACCAGGGAGCTCATCCCAAACTGGGCATGTCAAGTGGAAGACCTCCCTACTTCCTACTTGGGTCTTCCCCTTGGCCTCGGAAAACCAAAAAAGAGACTTTTCTCCAAAGCATTAGATAAGGTCGACAGAAGGTTGGCTGGTTGGAAAGGGAGATACTTGTCACAAGTAGGAAGAACCACCCTTATCAAGGCTACTTTGGCCAATGCACCTGTGTACATGATGTCCCTCTTTCAAATACCATTCTTTGTGGTAAAACATCTTGACCAGCTCATGAGGAACTTTCTTTGGTCAGGACAAGTGGAAAAAACCAAATTCCACCTTATTTCCTGGGAAAAGGTACGCCTCCCTGAACAACAAGGCGGGATGGGGATTAGAAACTTAAGAAAACAAAATCTTGCCCTCTTAGGGAAATGGTGGTGGTGCTTGGCTACCCAACCTGACTCACTTTGGGCCCAGGTGTTGCGACACAAGTATAATATTCCAGAACACTCTTGGATCCCAGAGAAAAAACCTTGGTCTAATGCTTCAGGGGTTTGGAGGTCCTTATTGCCAACCTTGAACTTTTCAGGAAGTTTATCAGATTCTACCCAAGAGAAGGAAGTAAAGTGCGATTCTGGACTAACCTATGGATAGGCCATGCCCCGTTGAGGGACTCCTATCCCTCTTTGTTCTTTATTACTTTGAATAGAGAGGCTACGGTACAGGAGGAGTTAAGAATGGATGGAGGAAGAAGAGTTTGGCATCCAACTTTCAGAAGGAATCTTTCTGAGGGAGAATATAATGAATTCCTTTCTCTCCTCACAACGCTTCACAACACTTTTATTCCCATCTTTGGTTGAGATAAACTGGTATGGTCCCCTGCTCCTAAAGGGGAGTTCACAGTCACTTCTTTCTATAAAAAGCTAATCCAACCACCTACCTTCCCCCTCAACCCAACCTCGATTCTATCACAGGTTTGGCAGTCTATTGCACCCCCAAAAAGGTGGAAACTTTTAACTGGATTGCAAGTTCTAACAAGGCTCTTACCGTGGATCAACTTCAAAAGACAGGAATCCCTATTCCAATAGGTGCATCATGTGCTTGATTCAAGAGCAATTGAACAATCACATGTTCCTACATTGTAACGTGATGATCTATGGTGCCTAGTGTTGCAACTATTTAGGGTCTTTTTGGTAATACCTCCAACCGTTAAAGACCTTATCGCCCTGAACTTGGCATCACACTGGCCGAAGGCAGGCAGGACCCTATGGAAAGCTACCGTGGCAGCAACAATTTGGACTATCTGGAAAGAAAGAAATGCCAGAATATTTCAAGGATAGGTCCGTCTAATCCCCTTTCTCTTCCATAAGGTTACCTCCTTAGTAACCTTTTGGGCTTTAAACCACCATTTTTTCAAGGGTATCCCTACAGACTCCTTTATACTGCAGTGGGAGCATATCCTACTTCACAAACCAAAGAAAAATAAAGTTTCAAAGGCCTAGGAACCTCCTCCCCAAGGAGTAATCAAATTGAATTTTGATGGTTGCTCTTTGGGAAACCCAGGCCATGCAAGGGCAGGTCGAGTTTTCAGGGATCACCACGAAAATGTATTATTTACCTTCTCTGAATATCTCTGCATCCAAGACTCTCAGTTCGCCGAATCAATGGCTCTACTCAGAGGCATACAAAACTTTGACCGTTCTTGGGGACAGTTTCTGTTGGTGGAGGGAGACGCTACAAACATTATTTCATGGGCTTCAAGGAAAGCTACTCCCCCCTGGTATCTTGTGTCTATTTATGACGAGATTCAGCATCTTGGCAGGGATATGCCCGTCTTATGGAAGCATATCTCGAGGACGCCGAACGGGTTCGCGAATCTAATGGTCAAGGACGGAGCCAAGGCTCATGTTGAAGAATAGGCGCAATCAACTTCGGGTGGTTACAGAGTACGTGCTTCCTTTGGGGGCGGGGTTTTTTTGTGGACTGGGATTTTTTGTTAGCTACTCTCTTTATTTTTTTGTCCATTTGCAGTACACTGTGTAAGGAGATAATTTTGTAACCCATTTTGTATAGGGACTGATGACATATTCTTTTTTACCAGGAGTTCCGTTTACTTAAGGTACTCTGGGATTTACTTTTACCTCATTGTATGTATTCTTTCGATCAATACAAAAGTTAACAGTTATCAAAAAAAATTGTATATGCGAAGAAAACAATGAGGATTCATATTTTGGCATTTCGGCAGATAAAACACTACTATACTGTTGTTGGTCTAGCTGCATTCACTTGGATGATGTCCGTAACTAATCCGAAATGGGAAAGAAGAAATTTTTTGTTGTAGTTCCAGATAAATTTTGGTGATGTCTTGAAGATTTTAGTGAAATGGATTCTTGATATATCAATTATGCATGCTTTTTTTAAAGCTCAATCCCATGAGTTTGACATATACTCATATTGGTAATCATATATGATTGAAAGGTGGTAGATGGGTTTCATTTGAAGTAGACCCTCTAGTTGGTTTTATGAAGGGGGAAGTAGCACATGAGATTCTTTTCTATGGAATAAATTTTGGTGAGCTTTAAATCCATTGAACCAAGAGAGCTTGGTGAAGTGACCTCAAATAAAGGGGGAGAAGATTTCACTCATTCAGGGATTTTTTTTTATCTCAGAAGTTATCTAAAGTTCTTCAAGTCATTTTTCTGGCAGTTCTTAAAGTTTGACATATTCCATATGTGTAATTCTTGCAAGTCCGTGTTGAGCAATCTGGCTAAGGGAATACTTGAATATTGAATGGATAACATAACCACAATCACTTTTGACAGTAACCATGTTGTAGCTCAGGGTGAATGCTCAGTTTGTGATGCTGTGGAAGCAACATATTTTACTTCTATATTTTGGCTTGGTGAAGGACATCATTGTAAATTAGAGAAATATGGAATTGAACTCTAGCTTGTTGCCTATGGGCAGATTCTAGAAATATGTGAAATTTTGTTTATACACAATTAATTGAATTACTTAATGTGTGTAAGAGTTTGGTTTAAGCAGATTGTTAGAAAATAAACCTGACTTATAAAGTAGGCTTATTCAAATAAGAATAGTTATTTTTGTCGAGAAGAACTGAAAAAGTTTGTGGCGAACTTAAGACAAGCATTATGTTGATGATCATGATCTGAATCCTCAAGGGGTAGAAAAGTCATAGGAGAAGTTAATGTGAAAGGAGAAATCTAATGTAAGATTACAATTTGTCTCGACTTTGAAAGCATGTCGGTAATATTTATATCTAGAATGCTGTCATAATAGTTTCATGCTATTAGCAAAGCCATTCGTTTATTGATGGTTGCAATAGCATGTAAATTTTACTCTCTTTAGTGGTGCTCTGATAAACGGAGATAGAAATTAGAACTTACAGCTTTCATAAAAGATGCACTACTATCATGCTTGGACCATTTTGTTCTAGATTCAGCAGAAAGAAATGAATTATGTCCCATCCAAGAGATATTAAATGGGCTTGCGTAGATATATGAAATCTTGCAAAGGATGGGAAAGGTGGAGTCAAGAGAGCAGAGGGAATATAGGGATTCCATGTCGATTTCATTTAGACTTTGGCAAATGCACATTGGAAGAGAGTTCTAACCAATGATAAATTTGAATATAATTTGTATAGCCCGCAATAAAATGATAATAATAGGAAGTATTTGAATTAGAAATTAAAATTTAGTGTTTTGATAAGCAACTTAACCAACATATGGCATGTTTTGAACTAGTTAACTTCTGAAGAAATATGATAAAAAGAAGCTGTAAACTTTAAAAAGTTCCTCTATTACAACTGCAATCACCAAGGTACGTTGGTCCTCATCCATCGTTTAACGTTCTACAAGTTGACAAGTTGACTCAGTCACAAGAGAATACAGAAGCTGCTGAGGAAAATCTTTTGAACCATATAAACCTTCTCCAACTTGGCCTCAAGCGAGTCACACGTCAAGCCTTCACTATTTTTGTGACTCCAACTCTTAAGGAGTCGGAATTTCGAAGTGAGCTGCTACTAAAATTTGACTTGAATGGACTTACTTAGAGGATTGCACCATTTAGCTTTATTTTGATTTTTACATAACCTCTCACGAGAAGCTCTCTGCCAATCTATAGACCAAATCTTTAACTCCAATGTTGTTAATATTCTTGCGTGAGTAATTCCTATACATCCTTGCACCTTGAAATATTCATCCATTTTTCTGTGTTTATGGCATCCAAAAGGAAAGCAGATCATTGATGCGCCCTGTTCTAATGAGAGGCCAATCAACCAACTACTTGGCACCAAGCCATCACAGGCATGGGAGTTTTTATGGACCCATGTTAGTCTTTTATCCTCTAAATACTGCACCTACTGCCATCCCTTTACCTAAATCTAATCCCCTTACAGGTCTTATTTCAATCATGCTGCTACTTCTCCATAGACCAGGCACCCTATAGGACTTTTTCCTCACATTCCACCTATCCTCACTACTATCTTTCTGTGAATGACTTCTTTGCTATACCTTTGTTTTCCTTCAAATTGCCATATTATCATTCACTTAGCATGTGGAAATTTATTCAAACTTTCCATAAGAATTTTGTTGTTACCAAAATGAACATTCTGTATATTTGCTGAAGTTTCTTTTGTAGGTCTGAATCTTCTACTGAATGACAAATATGACTATCCCTAGGTGCCAGCGGCACCTTTTATACTAAACTTCAGGTCAGTAAATTGACTTTAATACTTTGGATTTGTAGGCTGCCTCAAAACAAATTTGGATTGCATTTTAGGTAATGCTGCATATGTGGTTGACAGAGTAGTCAAAAAGCTGAATTTGAGGTAAGGCTGCAGATGTGGTTGTGGAGTAGTCAAAAAACTGTTGTCTGCCCACGTCCCTAATTCCTTTGCATGCAAATGAGATCTGATCTTGTTTGAGGCAGGAAAAATACAAAATAGTAGTTTTTAACAAGAACACGTCCTCAATTTTAATTTGAGGTAAATGAGCAGCTAATTCAACTTTAATAATAAAGATACAATTATGACATTAGCAATGGAAATGTGAATCTCGAAGAATTGTGGTGGATGAGTTGCTGTTATTATGGCCCATTTCATGTTCAGATGATTGGATTAGAGAAAGAAATGAGATCTGGAAAAATGGTTTTTATTTGGAGAATAGATGAATTTCTAGATTACGAAGGAAAGTGGATGAAGGATAGGGGTATGAATCCTGGGAAAGTTTCTCATCAGATTTTCATTGGTTCATGCCAGAACTGTTTCATTTTCCAAATTTCCTTCCTGCTCAATATTATATATTGTTAATAATAAATATCTTCTAATGACCAACAATAAATTACCATTGACCACTCTTTTTTTCTTTGATAATTGATAGATTTTTTTTCAAGTGTATTCTTGCTCATTAGATGTATCATAACTGCTCCCTGGTGAGCATCTGCATTTCAATGCTTGTTGTTCAATGGTTTTTTTTTAGGGGGACATGCTACAATATGCCCCCTAATGGTGGACTTCCTTGTTTTTCATTACGAACTTTTGACAATGTAGAATGGGTCCCAACTGAAGGGAACTGCCTTGATGCCATTGGTCAAACCAGCTAGTTTTATTATAGGAGGTTTGAAATTTAGATCTGTGCATTTGCTTGGCAGGTTTGGTGATTCAAATTAGAGAATCCATGAGACGGCATACGATAGCTATATGTAGAGATGTTAAGGATAATACCTTTGGTTGTGTATACATGAACTCTTGGAGACCATATTCGTTGCTTGCTGTTGCATCAGTGCCGAAGTTAGAAAAGTAATGCAGTCACTTACATGGGAGTAGGGGTGGTAACAGGTCGGGTCTGGTACGACTAGGACCTGATCTTCAGGTACAAAATTTGGACCCATACCCAGACCTGTCGGGTCCCAGGTCTACCTGCCGCCCTATAACTATGAGCTTTTTTTTCTTCTTCATTTTTTGCCCTTTTTTGTACCATTATATTTATATTATTGGCAACATTTACAATATTGCACAACATATATGAATACCCACATTTCCTTATTGTTTTATGTAATAACTGGAAATTCTTAAGAAAAAAACGCATTGGCAACATTTATGAATACACACATAACATGTACCCATATTATTCAGGTCTAGTACTGGTCGGGGCATGCTAGTCCTGGACCCAAATAGTATTCAAGTCCAGATTTTGTATTTAGACTTAACCTTTCAGGTCCAAAATTTGGACTTATACCCATACCCAAGGTCGGGTCTACCTGTCAGGTCCTAGGTCTAGCTAGGTCCATTGCCACCTCTACATGGGAGCTTTGACTCCTAATTAGAATGTGGCCTCTCCATTTCATTCTTTTCTCCAAACCATTGGTTATGCTACACAACACACTATGTTCGTAGGATTCACTGAACTCAATGAAGCCTTCTATCTGGAACAAAGGATGCCCTTCAAGCACCAATGAGGTCGTACTCCATTCATACAACTCATCACCATCCACAGTCTATTTGAATTTTAATATTTTTCAAATATTTGATTTTTATAAAATTTGAGACGTGCGTACATCTAACCATCTAACACCCAAATAAAATATTTTAAAAATAATTATTAAAAATAAAATGATAAAAATTCCCTTGAAATATTTATAGGGGTAATTTTATTATTTTATTATTAAAATTATTATTTTTTATATTTTAATCTGGTTTCGTGAAAGTTTTTGTAAAGTTTTACATTGATTGTCTATTTAGTACAGTGTAGCTCTTTATCAGGCTCGGGGTGGATTAAGGAAAGTTTAAGGTTATCACCTTTCTTAGATTTTAGGTGTAGTTCAAATAGGCGATAAGATGAGAAAAAGTAGAATTAGTTGAGCTAGGCATGTACAGTGCAAATCAAGTACAACACATCATTGGCCGGCGTGAGTTGGTTCGAGACTCAAAAAGGACAATGAGTAGGCTTAAAAAGATATGGTTGGAAGTAGAGAGAAAAGATAGGGATTTATAACCTTATTGAGGGTATGACACATAATAGAGTAGAATAGCATACTAAGATTCGTGTAGTCGATCCTAAATTGTTGGGAAAAATATTTGTTGATGCTAATGATATTTTATTCAAGTACGCCTACTATGGTGTACATACCCACAAAATTTGAGGTAAATTAGATTTGTAAAAAATTAAATTTTAGATACTATCAAATAATTGTGAGTGTTTGATGGACTTTGGATGGTAATGAGCCGTTAATGAAATACTGTAAAATTTCTCCATTTAAGTGTCTTTTGAAAACAAAAATGCTAAAAATTGGTCCAATTGATATGTGATTTTCAAACGTCAAAGAATGTCTCTACCTCTTTAGGGTAGTAGATTGATAATGAAAGATTGGGATAAATTATTGAAAGGAAAATATGGATCTAAA